TTTTTTAATTCTTTATATATATATATTAAGACTATAGACACATGTGAAAATCTATTTGGGCTATAGATAATGAGATAAATTTAATATATGGAGGATGATCTGCCAGAGTTGGGGCCAGGGGCCAAATTGAGCGAAAGATTCCAAAATGAATTTAGGTCCTCTGAAAAGCACAGAAGAGATAACAAATACCAGTTTAATAGTGTAAAGTTCATACAACGGAACTTAGGGACAGAATTGATGATTCTATCAGAAATATCAAACTGGCTTCATGTGTCAGAGTACCTGAAGGTCATCACTGTGTGTTTCTGGCAGCAAATGTCTCTGCTTAAACCCCTCTTGGAAACTGTTATTTTTCCTTTCTCATAGATGAAGAGTTATTCTATAAGTTGTTAAGTGCCCCTTCCTTGCGACTGGAAAAAGGCACAGAAAATGCGGCATGGATCCTAGCATGACAAAATCCACCCCAAAATAGAAAATTAGGCTTTTCATCCACAGAGATGCTCCTAACAGCTTAGCTCACTCTGTCCTCCCAAGTGTTCTACCATTATGGGTTTGGGGATGGGGTAATGAGCTGACTTGATAATGAGGTCTCCAGGTACTCAGCTGTTTGGATTGTGTTTTTGCCTTTGATCATTTGGGAATATCAGCTGCATTTCAGAGAGAGAGATCCAGCATTTGAGACAAGGGATTGGTACTTTATTAAGAACCCCCAATCCAGAATGTACACTTCTTTCATCATATGGGACCTAGGAAAATCTGAAGGAATTTAACGTGACTTTTCCTCTCCTTGCTGCAACCTCTGAGACAGACATCATTTCCTTCTTCATTGTGTATTGTTTTTAGGTGTAACATTCTGGGGGGTGTCTAGAGATTTATTACCAAATAAGGAATTCCTGTTAAACCATAGAGCTGCTCGATAAGACTTCACTGACCCTCTGATTAAGAAACTCACCAACTATTCATATAATAGCATATTTCCACAAAGTTATCTAGAGGTAAACAACTGTTGTTTTTTTTTTTATTTTACAGAGAACAATGACAAACATCTTAGAAATATTTCATAAGAATTAGTACATTAGAATTAGTACATTAGAATTAGTACATTAGAACAGTGGATTAGAATCCACTGTTTCACACAGTCAAATTTCCAGAGTGGTGGATGTGCTGTAGTCAGGAGCACAACTTTCCAGAAGACCATAGAAATGATGTACCAGGTGAGTATTGCTTTTTTTATCTGCTGGGTTGGTGAGTGTGTGTTAGAGCCTGTACTCAGTCATCACATAGCCAGTGGCAGTCTACACAAGAAGCAAAACATGTGTCTGAGAGTGAAGAATATGAGAATTTGTACATGTAAATCAATAGTTTAATGTAGAAAAGGGCAACATAAAACACTTGAAAGGCCTTTCACTGGAGTTTATCCCAAGGCTCTTTATCAATCTAAAGTCTGCAGGAGCCAAGTCCACCTTGATAATCTGTCTCTTCCTGGCTTTATTTATTTATTTATTTTTAAATTTTTGGTACTGGGAATTGAACTCAGGACCTTGCACTTGCCAGGCAGGTGCTGTGCTGCTGAACTATATCTCTGGCCCTCTTTGCCAGGCTTTAACACAACACTTACAGCTGTGACTACTGAGCACATTGGGTTGATGAAGACATGGTTATTCCTGGTAAGATTAAGACAAATTAAGCGTTAAGCAAACCCAAGTTCTCAGAAGGTTATTAAAACTCCAGGAAATGATCTGGTGAATATGTTCCTTTCTCTACAAAAAAATGAACTAGTATATAGTATAGTCATCTTGAATTGGGTTAGGGACAAGTCTTCTATCACTTGCCTTGTCACTTATTTGAAAGAGAGGAAAGGCAATAAAAACCTCAAACTCAAAAACATTAACTGAATTCTGTGGTTTCCGTCCATCTGTACACACCCTATTTTATTATCTCTCATCTTTTCTTCTCTACCTCCATTTCTAGATTCTAGATGAGTAATCCTACTCCTACCTATGTTTTAAATTTTACCTAGTTCTCCCTGTACCTCTATACTGATTGTTCTGTTAAGAGTCTCCCACATAATAGTACTGAGAAAGAGGGTTTTTTTTAGGGTGTTATTAATTTAGAGCTGACAAATAGTCTGGAGGAGAAAAGAAATTGAATCTAAGCCAAAGGCATAAGTAAGGCTTTTTTGGTTAAGAGAATTAAGTTATAAGAATAAAATGTATGAATTTCAACATATCCAAATGGAATGCACACTAAACATATGGTAATGGGCTCCAAATTATCAGTTATATACCAGACAGGATCTGGATAGTCCCAGTTATATTAGCGTTTTCCTAGTTACATTAGTTGCAGAAGCTATAGTGACCCAAGGGAGAATAAAATGTTGAGCATTATCAACAGGGTATTAGAGGCAGAGAGGAATATTGTGCTCTATCTAATTCTACCTATATTAGGGTAGTAGCCATAGCAGTGCATGAATCTGCTCAAAGCACCTTCAGAAAGATTTCAGTGAAGCATGAAAAAGTCTATGTGAGCAAATGGATGAGAAATGATAAAATTTATACAATCAAGACTAGGGTAATCAAAAGATGGTTTACTACTACGAATGTTAGAATGAATCCCACTGCTCCACTGCTATGCTACTCCTGCTATAAATTTAAAGTGATTCATTTGAGCACTCTGGGAGGCTGAGACAGAAGATTACAAGTACAAACTCAGCCCAAGCAGCTTAGCAAGACTGTCTCAAAACAAAACATTTAAAAAGAGGATGGGGTGGCTGGTGATGTAGCTCAGTGGGTTCAATCCCTACTACTGCAAATATATTTAAAATGAAAATCTGACATTTTATGAAAAATAAAAAGGAATAACTACCCCTAAAATTATTTAATAAGGGTTTTGTGTCAAGTACCAGTTCAAATTCTTCAAATATGTCAACCCTCATAGTAACTGTGTTATATTGCTGTAAACAACTTACAAATGAGTTTGAATATTGTGCTTCAAATTTTGAAGAACTATTGAAAGAATTTATGATGAAATGTTAAACAAGTAGCTGTTTGAAAAGAACACAATGACGGTATTCAGCAGAAGACATAGACTAAGACCAAAGGAAAGAGGGTGATTAGGTAGATCATTTCAGTGATCAGAGGCAATGATGTTTGTTAGAAGCTGGGTGTTGGTAGAAAGTATAAGGAAGTGAGAGAGAGAGCAGCATGTTTTACGAGGCACTGGTATTGTGTTGGGTGGAACAGGGAAGAGGTAAGTAGGTCCACTTTCAGCTTTCATTTATTTTCCCTTCCTTCCTGTGGCCCGAATTCAAGGAGACAAGCTAAAAACCTATGGCAGTGACATAGGAAAACATTTCTCATGATCTTACAGGGTATCTGTCTAGATGAGGGTCCTGGGTAGGAAAAGCCATTGCAGAGACCTTGCAGAGGACTTGGTATTGAATGCTACTGGCAGCGTTGGTAGGGTATCAGTCTCACCGGACCACTGGGGAAATAATTCAAGATGTGTTGAGGAGGAGCTAAAGACCTGGGCACTTTCAGTATTTCACCTGTTTCTCCCTGATCTAAACCCAGCTCTCCAACGGCCAAGTAGTTCTTTCTTTAAATAATTTTCCTGAGGTATAATCACTATCTAACAACCTGAATATGGTTAACATATACATTTGATGAGTTTGAACATAAGCCTATGAAAGACACGCCTATCTCCTTCAAAATGTCCTTGTAGCTTCATCTTCTGCTTTGTTGTTTGAGGCTGAGGCCTATATTCTGAAATTTTTTAAAATTTAAAATGTAGTATTGTTGGATTAATTATCATGCTGCATAGCAAATTTCAAGAACCGAATCATGTTGCATACCAGAAATTTTTTTTTTTTGCAGAGCAAGATCTATCCATTTCCCCCACTTTTGTGGTTGATAACCATTAGTTGAATATTTTAACTAACTCTTATGGACGTAATTATGCAATAATTGTCTTTGCATTCCTAATTTATATTACTTAGCACAATACCTACCAGGTTTGTCCATATTGTTGTGAACATGGCAGAATTTTCTTTTTTACAACTGAATTCCATTCAGATATATGCCACATTTTTATTTATTCAGTTGGCAATGGACATATCAGATGATTCCATAATTTTCTGCTATGTATGCATGGTGCCACAATGAACATGAATGTACAAGTATGTCTTTAAGGTCATGATTGCAATTTTCAATTCAGTTACATGAAAGGATGCTCTCATTAGTGAAATGCAAATGTGAATCACAATATCACCTCCCAATAGGATGAAATACTATATATATATATATATATATATATATATATATATATATATATATGGACAACAAGTGCTAGATAGTGTTTGGAGAGAAGGAGCACTTATACACAGTTGGTGTAAATGTAAAGTGGTGCAGCCCCATGGAAAACAGTAAGAAAGTAGCTCTTATAATTAATAATAGAGGGGCTGGGGATTTAGCTCAGTGGCACACCGCTTGCCTGGCAAGTGTGAGGTTGTGAGTTCGGTTCCCGGTACCGGAAAAAAAAACTAACTAACTAACTAAATAATTAATAATAGAAGTACCATATGCCAGCAATTCCATTTCTGGAAATATAAACAAGAACTTATAATCAGCTAGCTTTTTCCACAAATTTCTTCTAATGTATTTCTTTTCTCCCTCTTATTGATGCCCATGCCCTCAGTGGTAACATCCTGGGTGCACACTCCTACAGTATCAAAGAAGAGGGTGGGCAAAGAAGACTGAGAACAACTAGCTGACCGCCAATGAACCCCAGGGTCTGCAGCAGTGCTCCAGGCTGGACACTCTCTGGACTGACCATGCTGGTCCAGGCTGATGTGCTTCATGTTTGACTCATCCTATTTTTCCTTTCTGTTCTCATCTCCTTCAAACCTGGACCAGCTACAATGCTGATGCCACAGCCTAATTACACTTTTGTTACCAAATTCCTCTTTGAAGGTTTCTCCAGTTTTGGGTGGCAGCACAGGCTTGTCCTTTTTGTTGTTTTTCTACTGTTGTACCTGGTGACACTGTCTGGCAATGTGATTATTGTGACCATTATTCTCCTGGACCGTCACCTTCATACTCCCATGTACTTTTTCCTGAGCATACTGTCGATCTCTGACACTTGCTACACTGTGGTCATCATTCCTCGTATGCTTTATGGTCTTCTGTGTCCTCAGAAAATGATTTCCTTTGAAGACTGTGCCACCCAGCTCTTCTTCTATCTAACTTTTGGCATCAACAACTGCTTCTTACTTATGGCCATGGGATATGACCGCTATGTGGCCATCTGCAATCCCTTAAGGTATTCACTTATCATGGGCAAGAGGGCTTGTGTCCAGCTGGCTTTGGGATCACTGGGAATTGGCTTGAGCATGGCCATTGTCCAGGTAATGTCTGTGTTTAGTTTGCCCTTTTGTGATGGCTTTGTCATCTCCCACTTCTTCTGTGATGTGAGACCCCTGCTGAAACTGGCCTGCACAAATACCACTGTCAATGAGATCATCAACTTTGTTGTCAGTGTCTTTGTCCTTATTCTACCCATGTGTGTGGTTTTCATCTCCTACGTCCTCATTATCTCCACCATTCTTAAGATTGCTTCAACAGAGGGTAGGAAGAAGGCCTTTGCCACATGTGCCTCCCACCTCACAGTGGTCACCATCCACTATGGCTGCACGTCAATCATCTACCTCCAGCCCAAGTCCCAGAGTTTCCTGGGGCAGGACAGACTCATCTCAGTGACCTACACTGTCATCACACCCCTGTTGAACCCTTTGGTGTACAGCCTGAGAAACAAGGAGGTCAAAGATGCTCTGCGCAAAGCTTTGCGAAGAAAGCCAATCTCCACTTAGGAAAAGTTAGGAAGGCCTCTCCTTTTAGTGTAGAGATATGTATCTTTTAAAGCTATTTTAATAACACCTTCATGTGTGAGATCACAAACAGCAGAATGAGATTCACTAGATGCTAATCTAGAGAATTCCTTTGGTCCAGTCATTGTTTTCTGTACCCAGCCCCAGAGTTATTGGAAAATTAATTCCCTACACTTATGAATGTAGAGGGAAAATTAATATACTGGGATCAAACAAGCCCAGAAGATGGACACACATTTTTTTTGAAGATCTTGATCCAATCTACTTGTTTCCTATGTAACTTTTCACAACTTTCCATTCTTCGCTCAACTCTTTCAAATCTAGACCCGCCTTAGTGCCAAAGCCAAACTTTATACGTACTTTTATTCACATCCACACAGCTACAACTATGAGAATGTTTTGAGATGCAACAATGCATTACATAGTAAGGTTTCAATCAATGATAGTGTATGCAGTGGTATATGCTATATAAGTGAGGCAGATGTGAGACTATCTATGTTCATACCAGTGCACTCTTTGATACTCATACTAATGAAATTGCCTAAGAATATATCTATCAGAACGGATCTCTGTCATCAGAAAACTAGGGGCCATAGTCATACCATTCCAGTAAGACATCAAAGGTAACAAAGTTTTAAAGCTGATAAGAATTAGATTTGGAGCCATTTCAGAAAGATTTCTTTGTTATTGGTAGGGATGCTGGAGTAATTTGTGTATCCACTGTAACATGTAAGTGAGGAGACACAAATATATATGCCCCTCTGTGATAGGCTTTCTTATGCTGTTTTATTATGTATTAATGTGGTATCACAACCTGTGGAATCTTCAAAAACCAGGCAACACACGCTTCAAGTGGATGGAACTGCCCTGACCCAAGAATAAGGAGTATAATGTAAGACAGCAAAAAGCGTCAGCCCCAGAGAACACAGCATGGGCTGTCCACAGTCCTGACATGTCCAGATGAGAAAAGTCAGATTGAGAAGGAAACCAGGCCAAAACATTGAACCCTTTTCACACTTTGAACACAGAACTAAATAGGGTCATGTTTGAGAATTTCCTTTGCTAGGAGAGATCTAAACTCTCTGAATTAGTATTATAATCATAAACATGTTAGCTACAATCTTGGACAATATTTATTAATCAACAGAAGCCCAAATCTTGATTTAAAGTTTTTGCAGAAGCTCTTAAAGCTACTGTGGTTACTTTCTGTAAGTTTTTTTTTTTAGATCCCACCAACTTTTCTTATGAGTTCAAAACAGGATTTCGTTTCCGAGCATCGCAGAAGATGAAAGTGGGCATGCTGGGATAAGGAAGCAGCTCTGTCTCAATTTCTCACTCCACTGTAGCCTTCTGTACAATGACACTGTCACACCCTAAATTCACATGGTTTACTTAGCATGCAGAATCCATCTGATCCAGTGACATGAACCCATAAAAGCAAGGCATCACTTCTGGGAGTGCCATCAAAACTCCAGCTGCTGAGATTGAGAGGTGTCAGTGGAAATGAAACAATCCTTAACTTAAGATAACATATGTCATTTGAGAAAAAAAACTCTGGCTTGTGAAGTCTGGCTGGGGATAAAAGATATTTTTGCCTTAGTTTCCAGATTTCTAGAGATGATAGCCAGTTCATTTCTGTACTGTTTGTCAAAACACAATTCAAAAATGTTTTGCATAATGGTGGTTTAAGCTGGTTCAAAGCAGTCCATAAAGGTCTGGTGATCAATTTGACAGCATCTTTTTTCTGAAGATGAATTTGTGGGATATTATAATTCAACGCCAAGTTAGCACTACTCAGAACTTACATATGCATTCCCCCAGTGCTGGGAGAAACAGGCTGAGAGCTCTCAGCGCGTTCCACTTCAGGAGTGGTCCTCCCGGTGGAGCTTCTTCCTCTGAGTTCATTCTGCCTTCTCAGGGATATACTGCCTGCAGTGCTTTGTCTACTTCAGGGAACTGTCTGTAAGATAAGTAGCAAGGGCTCTCCCCAATCTGGAGCTCTCCTCTGTGAGCTGGGCTGAGGTGTTTGCTGTCACTGCTTCACACTTCAACGTCTGTGTTTGTTCCACCCTGTTTCCTTCAGTCGTGCACAGGAGCAGAGACTGAGATCACTCTGAATACAGATCCTGCATTGAAATTTGTGTCTTAGAGTCTGTTTTCTGGGGATGAAAACAGGCAACATTTTAAAAAATCCCATTTCTAGAACAGTTGGCATAAGCTGAGAACCCAGTTTTAGCATCCCATTTCTAGAAAAATTGGCATAAGTAAAGATGGCAATTTCTAGTCTTAACATATTTTAGTAAGGGTAGATAAATGGCTTTTACATTTTAATTTGTAAAAATATTTATATTCTATTTATTGAGTTATATTTACTGTGAATCAAATTAGATGGCAGTTGTGTAGTGTTATCTTTTTGGAAACTGGTGAGAAAATAAAAATCTGAATTTTTTTCCCCTGTCAATTCACAGAGGGTAATTTCAGCTTCATTGCAGCCATGTACCCTGACATTGCAGAAAGATTACTGACCACTCTGAGTTATGCTGAAATTCAAAAATCACAGGAAATACAGAAAGTGGGGCTGTGACTTTCCAGTTTTCAGGAGGGGATGTATGCAGGTGCTATCAATTATGTAAGCAAGTGAACTTGATCATGATCCTGGGTACATCTGTATAGTGTAAAAGGCTTTTGATGAGAATTTTGTGGAGGTTGAGGATGAATCAAATGAGGATGTGGACTTGGACACAACTGTTCATAACTGGACAAATAATCTAAGTCTGGAAAACAACTCTACTCTCTGATGTCATCTAAGGACCTGAACAGTCCCCAGTTATCCTCAGGTGTCTCAGACATCCACAATAAGAATTTCGTCTCTAGGTTCAGAAAGATGCTTTTGCTCTTTTCATTTTCCACTTGGTGGGAAGAAGGAAGAGCCTAGCTTTTCCTGAATTCTCAGTTCCCCAGATTACTAAATGTCTTCTGACTGAGTGTCCACACTGGAGATATCCTGGGAAACTTCTATTCTATTGGGCACAAATAGGGAACTGTGCCTTGATTTACAGAAACCATTACTTAGGGGAACTCCTGAGGATTTGTGGCGGCCTGTTATGGGAGAGCAAAAGCTGCTCTGTGGTCTGGGGTAGACCCATCAGTTAAGAAACCAGAGGTGACAGAGGGGCCACAAGGGTGAACTTGGAATGGATTTTTCTAGTCATCTGTATACCATACACTTTTTCTGGTATCAATAGAAAATATTTTATATGTATTGAAGTAAAAAGACCCCTTTAGACATGGTCCACTCTGAAGGCTACAAAATCCTCAATTCCTGACTCTGTTCTACATTGTTTCTTGAACAGGCTATGAATAACCATCTAGAAGATAGCAGGAGGAAAGAAATGGCAGACATGGGTCTGAATGAACACAGAATTTAGGTACACGAGAGCACAGGAAAAGAAGAAGGACCAATGTGTGAAGCATGATGAGAATTCACCCTGCAGCTTCCTGAAAATGACTTCTGAGCCACTCAGTGCCTGGATAATCTCAAAGTGGCAACTAAGTGACAGAGGAATGAATGACACATGTCTGGGCTGGAGGGACCTAACAGAACACTTTGTCCAAACCCCTCATTTTACCAAGAGGAAGGAGAATCTCAGAGACTGGCAAGGAACTGGCCCAACCCCTCAGCTAGTTAGTGGTAGCTTGAACCTCCATATCTGTTCTCTATGCATAGCCCACCAAGCTTGGACTGAGGACAAGAGGCGAGGCAAATGTGACATGCAAGAATACAGAAACTCTCAGGACATATACCTTAAGCTGATCAAGACTGGACTTTCTACATACATTAAGTAGCTTTTAGGTCTTAACTCTGAGTCATTTGGCTTCAGACCCACGTCTGACACAAAGTCTGAACAATTTGCTCTCCATGTGATGCTAACTCCTGTAACGGTCACTGGAGGAAGGTGTCCTAAATGCATGTGTTGACCTCAAGGCTATGAGCCAAAGTAGGCATTGGAGTGCCAGCAGGGATCCTTTCCTAGAATACCAGGGAGCCTCCTAGGGGGACTTCTGGCCCATTGTTTCAGGAGGCATCTCCTTTTCACTCACCAGTCCTTGTTACATGAAACCAGTGACAGGCTGTTCAATGGGAATCTGACCATTTCTTACCTCTTTATAATGAGTAAAGAAAAACCAAAAGGAAGGACTCTGTGAAAATAGTTCATACCTGATACATGTCTAGAAGAAGGGATAAAGCTAAAGAAAAAGAAAGGTTCACATAATTTCTTTCTTGTATCTACTCCAGAAACATTGCTTTTAACATGGCACTTGTAGGTCTAATAGATACTACTTATAAATTTCCCTCCCAGATACCTGTCCTCTACTAATTGTTGTAGAGCCTTAGTGAACTAGAGGCTCAGTCTAACCATGTTCATGGATAGTTGGACAAGAAGAGTGACAGATTGGATGACTATTACGATCCATATTTTATCAGTGGAATACTATGACCAATGGTGGTATAAGAAGCTCTTCCAAAATCACAAACCTAGAAAGCAGAAGAGTCAAGATCTTTGAAGTCATGTCTTCTCCTCTATGGTTTTGTCTCTTTCCAATGAATAGATTTTTAGGTGGAAATTTAATTACATTCATTCTGTGTGATAGACTGGGCCTTAGATGGTGGCATTAAAAGTAAAAATAAACACATCAAGACTATTTCTTTTGTTTGACAAATTATTCAATACAAACTATTGTCAGAGATAAAGGTTTTGATTATTATTATTATTTGCTTTTTCCAAAGTGATTGTTTAACATGTTCATAAAGATAAAACATATGAATTTAAGGTATAATTTTGGAATACATTAGAGGAGTAAAATAATAACAGAATTCTTAGACTGAACTTCATTTTCAGGATCAATTCCTTAAGGTAAGATTCAGCCAAAAATAAGAAGCTTTTATATATATATATATATATATATATATATATATATATATAAGTTGGAGACAGAATAAACATTATCGACCTCAACTGCTTCCTACCATGTTGCCTCATTTCTACCTCATAACAGTCATGAGATGAAATTTTAAATCTAGATCTTCATAGTTTTTGCTTTTAGAGCTAAAAAAAAACCCAAATAAATGAGCCTTGAATATTCAGAAGCATCATGTTACATGGTCTCATACTTATTTTATTCAAATTCTTCTCCCTTTTGCAAAGGCTAATAATAAATGAATCTATTCATTGTCACACTTATTCAACCAATTTTTATTGAGCCCTTAGTATCACATGTCACATAACCAGTTACATTTCGCTTAATGAGGCAGTTCTATAAGTCCTTGATCACAGATTTTTCTATGTATTTTGAGAGCTGTGTTTGATAAATGAAAAGCAATTCCTTACACTGTTAAAAAAAATTGCTATTGCAAACTGATTCTTAAGCAACAACATCGTTCCTTTAGGCTTCTGCCACAGGATGTAGGTTCTGAAGTTTGTTGCCTTCCCCAGTCATTTTCATCTTCAAGAAAGATTTGAACTGTTCATTGGTTGAGACATATAACCAGGTATCTACAAGAAGCAGAGTCATCACCAACAGAGGGAAAGTGAGTTGTAGCCAGATGTATTTGCTTTGTTGAGCTAGAGTGGAACACAGATGCAACAAGAAACATGAGTCATTAGAAATTGAAGAGTGAGATTCAGAGCTTCATCTTCCTTAAGGGAAGGACTAAGCATGATCTTCCATTTTTAGCGTGACATGGCCTCCAGGAACAGCGAAGAAACACTCAGGAGACTAGGTTACTCAGTCTATGCTCCCTGGAGGCGTAAGGAAGACTACTTCTCAGTAACTCCTGTCCAAAATCTTTCCTCCAGTCAATGTGCTCAAGAGGAAAGTCATAGGAAAAATGACTCTTTTCTTGAAGCTTACATGACCACTGTCTGCAATTTGGAGGTTAAAAGGAGACAGAGTGAAGTCAAGGGGTCGCCAGTGTCTTATTTGTAATTAATCAACCATCGTTTCTTGCACAACTATAGTGACATAAAGTACTGGAGTATTTATGTTACCTTCCAGTTCTACCATTTTGTGACACTGTTACTTTGATTACACAGTAATTACACAGATTTTGCTAGAATTATAAAGCTCCCGACTGTCAGAGAGAAATCACTGAAGGACCAGAGTTTCTTAACAGTGTCCATACATGACCATCACTTTTTTGGGGGATAGGTACTGGGAATTGAACTCAGGACCTTGAACGTGCCGTATAGGTACCATGGCATTGAGCTGTATCCCTGGTCCACATGATCATCACTTGAAAGACCCTCTAAAAGTATTGATGCCTAAGCCTCACACCAAACCAATTAAATAAGAATCTAAGGAGATGAGACATGGATAGCATATCTTTTTAAGTTCCTTCGGTGATTCCAGTGGAGGAGTCTAGGCCAAACCTTCTATTTTACACATGGGAAATCCAGAAACAAATAACACATTGGTCTTGAATTAACAGAACTATCAGCAATGCTTAATTCTGACTTTTGGTCTCATGTTTTTTAGATATAATTATCAATATACCTAGAAAATACATTTCTCTGCTTCCTTGCAAGGGAACTATTTCAAAGGTTCTTCCTGTTGTATACAAGGTTGGGGAAGAGCAGTTTTTCATATGGGCCATAAAGGTAGTCCACCTGCCTATCCACCCCACATCAAGCCTGTTTCCTCATCCCACAAGATGCAGGAACATGGCTTACTGACAGATTAGTTTCCTTTTCTAGCCCTCCTACACTATAATAGACTCTTCTCACTCTTCACAACCTTTGTTCCTTCAACTTTGGAACTCCCTTTCAATTTGATGAATACAAATACTTCCCTCAGGAGAAACAGATGAATTTGAGATTTAAAAAAAAAAATCCAGTCTCTTATACCTATACAGCGCTTAACAGTTTACAAATTTGTATGATAAATATTAGCACACTAATCTTAATAAAAACTCCATAGTGTGAGCAGGTATTATATTTTTTGAGGAAGTATTATTATTACCACTTAACAAAAAGGACTTGAGGATTGAGATTGTAATTAATCAACCATCGTTTCTTGCACAACTATAGTGACATAAAGTACTGGAGTATACTATAGCTTTGGTTACCTCATTGCACATCTAGTAATCTTTCTAAGTTATCGTAGTTCCCCTTATTCTACAGACTGGAAACACTTCAGGCTCAGATAACCTTTCTTTCTCCTCCTGCTATGGATTACTAATTTTTTCCTTTACAAACTCACCTTTTATGACAGTAATGTTGAGGTACTCAGAGAAACATCTATCCTCCTCTTCCCAATGCTTGGGACTAAAAAAGCCAGAGCAGTAATAGGCACCGCTGCCATTAGCTACTGTAGGCATAATGGTAATGGTCACATTGTTCTCATAATGGTACTTGAAAGCTTTCTTATCCTTGTAGTAGATTGGTTTGAAGACGGTCCAATCCTTCCAACCATGGCACCTGAGTGAGAGGGACTCACCCTCCAACACCTCCTTAGCAGAGGTCTGAAGGAGCAGCCAGTCTGAAGAGCAGTCAATTTGTTATTCATTTAGCAACAAATACAGGGATAGGAGAACAGGGGTATGGGGAAGAAGGAAGGGGAAGATTATAAATAGGTAGATTATAGATAGAACATCAATAGAGAGGTGACAGCATAGATTATAGATAAGTTTGTAACTACATTATTAATAGAGAAATTATATATAGATAAGTAGGCAGATATATCATCAGTAGATAGATAACAGATAGATGATAGATGATAGGTAGATAGATAGGTAGATAGATAGACAGATAGACAGATCGGTAGATGATAGATAGATAGATAGATAGATAGATAGATAGATAGATAGATCCTAGATAGTTAGATAAGGTCACAAGTAGAATGTGGGTCAAAACACCACAGATTGTCATTAACCCAATTCTTGACTCATAAAATAAATGAACAGTAAACACAAAATAATGCTTATAGTTTGACTTCTATACTGGTAAATACTTTCTCCTAAAAGTCAGTATGGGGCCATAAAGTCACCCCTGTCTTTCTACTGAACTCATACATGGAAGTCCTGAAATCCAGAATTCCCTTCAGAACTATTTCAGCTAGATCCAGCCACTACTGAGAAAATAAACAGGAAATGATAGCTTAGGAAAACCCATTTTGCTCTTAATTTATTCAAGTTTCCTAACTCTACAGTTAATCATAGTTGGCCTCAAAACTTCTTTAAAACATGTGCAGCAGTTTTAATTATTTGTGGAAATCTTACTCTAATGTGCTCATTCCCAGCTAGTTCTATGTTTCATGAAGTTAGGAGATTTCTCTCATTCTATGTGTTATCTCTGATGCCTAACAGAATGCTTAGGAATTGGTAGGTACTCAAAAAACACTTGTGAACCACAAGTCAGTAAAGGATGAGAAACTGTTGTCATTGTAATAATTGAAAAGCACTGATGAAAGAAAATTTTCAAATGGGAAGATGGCTGACTTGTGCAAGCATATTTTATTTAGGAGAAATCTTTAAGGACTTCCTTATTATCTACTACAAGGAAGTAAAGATGCTTTCCTATGGGGATTTAGTTCATAAATGGAATTTACACACAGATGTTAAAATATTTACTTGCATTGGAGAGAAAAGTGTAACACTTATCCATCCAAATGAAATCATTAGTTTGTTCATTCAGCATTTACTAATCAACCTCCATGTGCAAGTATGTCGTGCTACTGCTTGGCAGGAGGAGAGTGAAACAAACTTAACTGTTTCTGAGTAACAATAAATGGCATGAAGAACATACACAGATACCCCTCATAATTAAGCTAATATTTAAGTCATGACACATGGATTATTTAGAGTAAATTTTTACATCAAGACAGCTTTGCAATGTTCATAAATCCATTGCACCATTTTTTTTTGTCTTTTTGAGACAGGGTCTCACTATGTAGTTCAGACTGGCCATGAGTTCACTTTGCAGCCCAGGCTGGTCTTGAACTCAAAACAATCTTCCTGCTTCAGCCTCCCAAGTGCTGGGATTACAGGCGTGCACCACCACACCCAGTCTCATTGTTCCACTTGATCACATAACGTACACCTGTGTCTAGGCAAAAAAGATAGAGAAAAATGGAGAATAGGCATAATACTGAGAGGTGGCCAGAATATTGAGAGGATGAAAAGGTAGACATAAGGGGGTAGGTATAGGACACGGATGGAAAAGTCTTGACGGAAAGCCCTGAGTCTTACCCTGATACTCACCCCCACAATAACTTACTATGCCCCATCTTCCAATGGGCCATTTCCCATATCCCTAGAACTTACCCTTGAACACTTCCAGGTGTACAGGTTTACTCCTCAGCAAATTTTGGTTCTGACATTCATATTTCCCACTGTGTTGAGTGCTGGCATTCACAATGTTATAGTTTGAAGTGTTTGTTGGTAAGTTGATGTCATTGTGAAACCACTGAGTAGGGCTGTCTTCAGTGGGATTGTTCTTGTTACATGTAAGAGTCACATTCTCTCCTTCAAATATTCTACTCCATGGCGGGCTCAGGGAGATTACAGATTTCCGAGGGGCTTCAAGAAATTAAATTATGGAAAGAAAAATACAAGGAAGAAATTGTCAAAAGCCACAAAGATGCCCAGAGTCAATAATGACTAGTTTACCCTTGTACTGCTTGTATTCTGTCCTAATTCCTAAGGGAAGCATTGGAGGATGGGGAAGCAGGGCTGTGACTCAGAAACCTCCCAACATAGGAAGATAAGAGACAAATACAGCAGATTTAAGAACAAAGCAATTTACTATGTGAATTGAGATCACTCATTCTAATTCTTTTATTAATTTCAATTTCAGAATCTCTAAATGAGAATTGCAATACTTCTTCAGATACAGACTCCGTCTGTCATACTCAACCCTTGCTCAGCTCAAAGGCTAGTATACAGTAAGTGTTCATTAAATATTTATTAAGCAAATGAATGCAGGAAAATGAGATGGATAAATGTATTGGGCTAGCATCAACAGGTGAATTGAAAAGAAAAATGTGGTATTTGTACAATGAAGCGCTGCTCTGCCATAAAGAAAGATAAATTTGAAGCATTTGTAGGTAAGTGGATGCAACTTGAGACTAATATTAAGTGAAATAAGTTAGACACAAGGCTTAAATAAACATAGAGAGGGAGAGAGAGAGGGAGGGAAAGAGGAAAGAGAAGATAGATAAATATAAAGTAGAAAGGAGAGAACAGAGGAAAAGAAAATGGAAAATGATGAAAATAGAGCATCGCAAAGGGGGAGGGTACATAGTTGGAAGAAGCATGGTAGGAGGAGGGTAGGGGTGAAAAAAAGAGAAAAAAGAATTGCTGTAGTGTGTACATATACCAACTTCTCATGATAAATGTAATCATTAGGTACTGTAAACATATACTAGTAAAAAATGCAATGATTGGGCCTGATGTAATATAGTCTTTCCAAGATCTAAATTTTATGACTATTTAATTGTAGGTGTATATAAAGTGAAAACCATATGTCAATTTTGCAAGGAAGTGAAACACACCAAGACAGTCAGTCTCTAGCAGCTCTCAGGGGAAAAGGGATGTGGTGCAAATTTGAACAGAGCCCAAGAAAGTGGCTAGATGGTAATGACAAAAAGGTGCTATAGACAAAGGAGAACTGGACTTACACACAGAGGACTTGGGCTGCAATCCATTTTTTTTTTGTTGTTGTTGTTCTGAGGTGTGTAACTCCAGCAAGTAACTTAATCGGAGTCTCAGCATTCTCAACCACAAAATAATACAAACTGAGTGGAAAGAAGCAAAAACCCTGGAAGAGAGGCTGGGCCATGTAGATGGGCACTAGACACGGTGTTTGGCTTAAACAGAGGAGGAGATGACTTGAGAATATGGAATGGCATAGGAGAAGCTTTTGAACAAGGGAAAGGAGGAAAATATAAAGTTGAGATGGAAAGTGGGCTGGCCAGGGAGGAGTAGACTCATTCTCATCAGAAAATGGATGTGAGGGGTTGCAGGCAAACTGTGAAGGGAGAGGAATGCCCAGACCCTCAGAAATGCTGAGGAGAAAAGGAGAGGAGAACTTACCCATTAACATCCCATGTGGAGCTGCAAAAGTCCAGAGACAATAAATTAGCATCTCTCTCCCAGCCCCTGGGACTTTGGGTATGGCATTGAGATCCATGTCCACTGAGCTTTCAGGCCCAAACATCTTCTCAGGAATCTGACCCAGCTGGACCATGAGCTTCTCTCTTCCCTCTACCCTCCCATCCTCGTTATGAATCTTGCACTACAGCAGGTGCCAAGGTGGTGGTAAGGAATCAGACTGTCAGTCTGCTTTCCCCTTAGCTGCTGCTCAACCCAGTTTCCTCTACTTTCCAGTTATTTCTAATAGAGTCCCAAGGAGAAAGCCCACCATTTGAACATGTCTTACAAAGAGTCATCACTAAAACAGCCAAAGTTCCTAGGCCTGCTGCTCCCCCAGATCCTTTGCTGCCCCTCAAAGAGATTAACCGACCCTCTACTTACAAAAGAGAAGCAGAGCTAACCAGAGCAGGGCAGACCCATCCACAGCTGCAGCCATCTTCTCTTTGCCTCCAGGTACCAACTGGGCAGAATCTGTAGCCTCAGAAACAGGCTTGAAACCAAAAAGGAGAAGGAAATACTGTATGTGTCATATCTGGTTAACTCAGCTATGCCTGGGCTTGCTTCTTTCTCAGAGATAATATTCAGAGCAATTTTATCTTTATCCCTTTATTCTACTCTCCACCATACCTCTACACACACCTAAAACGTGGGGGAGTACGGTTGGCGTACGTCTAGGCACAGTCTCAGGAGTCCCTTAAACTGTCAATCCCTGCATAATTACTCAGTCTGCAACTTAGGAAACTGAGATGCAGGGGAGAGCAAAATAATAATTAATCCCAAATATCTTATTTGATGCCAAGCACTATGCTAAATATCTCATATTTCTTCATTTCTTGCAAAACTCCTCTGAATAAGGTGCTATCAGAATCTACACTTTGTAGATAGGAAAACTGGATCTTAGGAAAGCTTAGGGTACCACCTAGTAAGTGGCTATCATGGGGCTCAAAGACATAAAATACAAACCCAGAGTTGAACTCTCATCCGTTAGGATACACTGTGAGTGTGTGTTCCACTGTACAACCAGTAATCGCTGAAATTTTTTTGAGGTTCATCTGAGCTGCCAGCCATCTTGTTACTTAATTTCCTGCTGATGTACTCAAGTACAAATCAACATAATTTCACCTGATTCATGGGTGATCTACTCTCTGGCTGGCCAAACTGGAGAGATTTTTAGAGACTCCTCATCTATTGGGTCCAGATGTTAACCATCCCTTAAACAAGCATCTAAGTGCTTTAAGCTATGTGATTTTATTTCCCAGCTTTGATCAATTTTTAATTTTATAATCATCCATCACAATCACTCTTTCTCCTTACATAGACTCACTCTTCATCTTTTTAGCACCAGGTCAGTGTTGATTATGACAGTGAAACTGGTAATGCCCTAAATACCTATAACAGGGTGCCATTCACTAAGTTTTTCTTTTTAAATATGCAGTATTAACTTAATATTTGCTGAAATTCTGGGGTAGGAAGGAACCCCTTTCACAGCTGAAGCAACTGAGGTACTCACTATGCCATCCTGCTTTGTTCTTCCTCAGACTCTTGAATGAAATGAGATTAGGTCTATTGAATTAAACTCAAAGCCACTCCTCAGCAAGCGCTATCTAAAACTTCCAACTTTCTATGAGACGAGAGAATAGAGGGCTAAAATGACTTGTAAGTAGAAACTTTTAGATAAGAATGATTAGTGACTGATTTCTGCTGCATGACAGATCTCAAATGGAGTAGCAAGTTATTCTGAAAAGTGTAAGGTACATGTTTTGGTTTGGTTTGGTGTGAGTGCATTCATACATGTGTACACGTATGTGAGTTTAGAGACTTGAATTCAAATACTCCTAATGTCTATTGTTTGAGGTTTACTTGTAAAATAGGGACAATAACTGTGTCTAAATCATGGCTTTATCAAGAGATTAATAAGGTAATAAACAGGTATGGTCCATCATAAGCATCTGACATGTAAAACATTTTTAATAAATATATCTTCTTCCTTCATTGCCCTTACTTATTAAATACTCTTAGAAGAAATATGAATGTTGACTGAGTTGAAGCAATCAGAAGCCTACATAGGACGCTCTGGTCAATAACCAGTACATATGCTAGTATGATTTATCTAACCAATCTCACTCTTCTCCATGGTCACAAAGAAGAATATAGGGTTAGGAAACACTAGAACTCAGGTTTGAGCAGGTTTGAAGAGACAAAGGAGAAGTTCACAAATATACAGATTTGAGGAACTGTCCAGTAGCAACATTTGAATCTCTGGACCCTGAAAATGACAGGAACAGATCCTACTTTATCCTTTATTGAGAATTTGTCCATTTCTTTCTTTCTTTTTTTTTTTTTTTGCTTCCCTTTATTCTATGGTGGTAGTCCTATAATAAAGTTATCCATTAGATATGGTCACTTTCTGTGACTCTGTTTATTTAAAGGGAGTCTCTGAGTCTACACACTATCCAAATATCTCCTCGTTAGCTGAACTGGGATGAGCCAATAGAGAACTACTATTCCTAGTTTGAAGAGTATAGGATTTAAAATTAGACTACTTTCATCTGACTCACCATTCTAAAGCTTTTGTATAAGTCTCCAGCACTGAAAGAAAGCATTTTGGTAGCAGTGACAGGAGGTTCAACAAAAACAGTTTATTAAAACTTGAAAAACAAACCGCATCAGTTTCTTGCCCAACTTTAGAAATATAAGTACAAAACAAGATCAACCGACAACATGAATATAAGAATGACCAAAGCATATTCTAATTCCCAAAGCATGTGAGCACAGGTACCCAAAGAACCAAGCCATGAATTCTGAAGAAGCACATATACACTAAGACTAGACAAAAGTTCTACCCTACCCTGGCTGAACCAGTTGATGCATCAGTTTATTTCCATAAATTTAAGAATTTTATACATTGACATAATGTCCTCCAAAATTTATATCCACCATCCAGGTGGAGAAGGCTGCTAATTTCTTCTACCCAGCCATCCACATTAAGAACATGATGAAATCAATATGTTTTATTGTTGTTTCTTACCATAGGCTTCTGAATCTGAGCACCCATATACTCAGTACATACCAGCATCCCCCTACACAAATTTTGACTTGACATTGGTTTGCAAGAGCATTAATCTATATTACATTTTGTAGCAATGACTGAGAAAAAAAAGTCAAGCAGCCAAGCATAAATGATAGGGCCTATGGAATTTGAGGTGTCCGTGCAGCTGGATTCTGGGGGAGAAGCTTTTGACAAGAATTTTGCAGATATGGCTGGCAGAGAAAGCATCAGAGCTTGGTGCCTTTGTCTTTGTGTTCTCCAAAATTGGGAGGCAGAAAGGCAAATCTACTGTCTTGTATCTTAGATTCTATGAAACCAGGGTCCATATAATATTGAATATGAAGTGACAACAAAGCAAAATACCTGTCTGCTCATGGTGTGCACATACCTAATAAATATTAGCTTCAAGTAAGCTTGCAACATGTCTTACCTACTTTATTCTTCCTACTAATTCTATATAGTTAAGTATGAGAACACTAAGTCATAAAGATGCTAAGTGCTTGTTGAAGGATTTTTTATCACTAAGTGAGGACTTGGGTTTTGGACCCAAATCATCTGACTGAAGAGTTTGCACTCATAACAGTTAGAAAGATAGGCAGTTAGATACATGTATTAGTCAGTTTCCTATTGCTGGGAAAAAAATACTTGACCTACAACTTAAAGGGAAAAATATTTAATTAGGTTCAGTTTCAGAGGTTTTAATTCATTGTCACTTGGCTCCAAGATGGATACAGCATGGTGGGGGAAAGCTGCTAATTTCAGGAGAGCAAGGAAGCAGAGAGAGAGATGAAGAGAACTAGAGAGAGAGAGAGAGGAAGAGAGAGAGAGAAGAAGGGTCTAGAGAAATGACTATCCTTCAAAGGCACACCTTCAGAGATCTACTTCCTCCAACTATACACTACTTCCAAATAAGCTCATTTACCTATGAACTCAGTAAAATCCATTGATGAGGTGAGTAGCTTCATTAGTACCAGTTACCTCTCTACCTCCACTGACAACATTGTTGCTTTGGGGATAAAGGCCTCAGCACATGAGTCTTAGGGAGATGCTTCAATATTATGTCATAAGCACAGATGGTAGGCAGACAGATAGATCTTCATTCAGTCTATATATTATGACTGAAGTGAATGTAGATTCATAGTACTCATGCAAAAACTCCTTGGATTCCCAAGAATCCATAACTCACAAATAAAAAAATCATTGTTCTAGTCAGTTCAACTTCCTGTTCTACAATTTCCTTTCCTCAATTTAGGGAATGACTTCTCAACCCATAGCCACACAATGTTTTTGGCACTGGTGGCATATTAACTGTGCATTTCATGCACATTTCTAAAAGAATGATGGAAAACAGAAAAATCGTTGCCTTTGTCCTATAGATTGTTAGGTCCCAGAGGGAATCGACTCTATCTCCTTCCTTCTGCGACTGTGAACAGGTGCCAGCTTAGGAAAGAACACTCAATAATAGGTGCCAGCTGTCTTGTGGATTTTCTCATTAAAATCAGTGGTTTTATAGTTTTTACTTCTTGTCTTGATCTGAACAGTTACCTACTTTGGGCCCTACACACACACACACACACACATATACACACATGTATATAAAAGAAATAAATAGAAGCTCCCAGGACTGCCAAAGTAAATGCCACTCAGAAAGAAATGAAGACAAGGATTATACAAGCTGAAGCTTTAGGTGCAGGTAGAGATTTTCCCCCCAAGGAAAAGAAAAATGAAACTTCAAGGAATAACACCAAAGATGGTGCTTTCCCTCTCCCACCTTTTTTGCAGATTAATTTATCTCTAATATGGAATGGAGAACTGGGGGAAATATTTCACAGGTAGTATTTGAATGGAGATTAGCTACGAAGTATATTAGCAGCAATTGATTTTAATAACAAAGCTTTCATTCAAAATTTAAAGTTACTGTACTTGGAACATGCAGATTTATATACCTGGAGCTAATATAGTGCTGACTATTTATAGGCAAGTCCTATCGCTTCTCGGCCTTTTGGCTAAGATCAAGTGTAGTATAAGCAATTCCTACTAAATGTACAAATTGAAAGTTAATGGAAGCTGAGAGGTTAAAGGTTCAGGTTCATGGTCACTTTTTGATTGGATATGAAAACTCAATGGAATGAGGAAAGATTTCCTAACTGGTGTTAGAATTTGTAAGTATGCCCTAAATTATAACATAACAGAAAATCTGTCTCTATGTTTCCTAAAATTTTTCAGAGATGGCCATTGTCTTAGGGCAATCTATTTTATGCCATAATCTGTTTTATAGTGCGTAAGTGTGGGCATCTATGACATCAAGATGTCTGCTTCAGGATGGACAGTCAGTCACTCACACTTTGAAGATGATACTTCTGTGTGGTATCTTCTAGTTAAAGGGGGAGTCTGAGCCACAGATGCACTCATG